GAACATGAGGAGGGAGAGGAGGAAATATTTGTAAGAAATCATAAAGATAAATTTCATATGTTTAAAGATGAAAGAGCTCTCAGACCCGTAGTGTTCTTTAGGCTGAACAGGAAAAATCTACACCTGCTCACAAATGAATGAATTTCAAAAATGCCTAAAAGAAAGAAAAATCCAAATCATTTCTGCAGGAAGGCTTATATGGGGCGCCTGGGTGGCTCAGTTGGTTAAGCGACTGCCTTCGGCTCAGGTCATGATCCTGGAGTCCTGGGATCGAGTCCCGCATCGGGCTCCCTGCTCTGCAGGGAGTCTGCTTCTCCCTCTGACCCTCCCCCGTCTCATGCTGTCTCTCTGTATCTCATTCTCTCTGTCAAATAAATAAATAAAATATTTAAAAAAAAAAAAAAGGAAGGCTTATATGGCTTTCTGGTGGCAACAGTGGGTGCAGATGACGGTGCAGCAAATCCTTTTCAGGAGTTGAAGGAAAACAATGTAAATCTGTAATTTTCTATCCAGGCAAATATTCATCCCAATGGAGGGTGCGAAAGAAAAGTACCTCCGTACCAGTTATATGAGGTCATCTATAGTCGCAGAAAAAATTAGAAGAGCTTAAGAAATAGTCCAGAACCTTGGATGTGTCACCTCTGTGTGTGTATGTATCTACCTATATATCTATGTGTCATCTATCCAATCTATTTATCAGTATTTATATATGGAGCATCTACTGGGCAAACGCTGTTCTAGGTCCCAAGCATCGACCTCAATGCTGACTCAGTAAATGGAACAGAGCACCAGATCTTATGAAGCTTGCAGTGAATGCTGGGGAACACCAGCAATAAGGAAATATAAGCAAGTAAATGAACAATGTGTATGATGGTGGTAAATAATAAGAATAAAAATAAACCAGGCTCTGGATGCCTGGGTGGCTCAGTCGGTTAGGAGTCTGACTCTTTGATCTCAGCTCAGGTCTTGATCTCAGGGTTGTGAGTTTAGGCCCCTGCATTGGGCTCCATGCCGGGAGTGGAGCCTACTTGAAAATAAAATAAAATAAACCAGGTTCATGAAGGTTCTCTACCAGGGCAAGTCCAGGGGACAATTGGGCCCTGTGTGTGGACATTTCTGGGTGTCACAGCCGAGGGGTGCTCCTGGCATCCAGTGGGCAGAGCGCATTCCAGTCCACGGAGCAAGACCCTGTGGACAAAGTCCCAGAGCAGAAGCACGCTAGTCTTGCTCAGGCAACTGAGGAGGGGGCTGAGGAGGGGGCTGAGAAAGGGGGAGCGTGCAGGTGAGATGCTGAAGGCCTCTGGGTACAGAGAAAGGACAAGGCTTCTCCTCCGAGTGCTCTGCAAACCATGGGTCGGTTCTGAAGGGGGGCAGTGAAATGTATGGCTGGGGTCTCGTCACAGAATCTGGGGCCATGGGGAACGCAGCCCTCGGGGGCAGGAGGGCAGAGGGGACCATTCTGGAAGCGGCAGCAAAGGTCCAGGTCCCGGAGAGATTAGAAGAGGCAGCAGTGAGGGGGTGAGTGGTCAGATTCTGAATCCAATTTGGTGGCGGGTCCCCCATGTACTGGACTCAGGATGAAAGGGTAGAGTTTATGTGGCCAGAAAGCCACCATTCTGCTCCCAAGGAGTCGGAGGTTTGCAGGGTGTTAGAGATTCCATTGGGCCCCCAGAATCAACGAAAGCCAGGAGCCTTCCAATTCATCTGAAATGTTAACACAAAAAAGTTCACTATCTGAATGGATTTGTTATGATTTGATGGACACGGAGAGCTTCCAAAATTGTAACCCAGTCACGCCGAATCCTTGATTAAAATTCATGCAGTAACATGCAGACCCACTATTATATAGCTTTTCAGAATTTATGAGATCTAATTCAGGGGGACAAAAAGGTCCACAGAGAAACCTCATGTATCTTAAAACCACCTTCCCCACCCAGGGAGAAAAGGAATACAGAGCCGTGTCTATGTCCTTTTGTCTGCTTTCCATTGTTTTTGTAAAAGGGTAAGTTGACATATCAAATCAGTGATTTAAACTAGTTTGAGCAAAGCTTTAAGGTATTAATCCCAAGATATTGAAAAATAGTAAAAATAAGTTTTAAAAAATCACAAATATTCCTCACGTATCAATAATTACTTTTCATTTTTCAATACCTTGGAATTAATATGTTAGAGCTTTGCTCAAGCTAGATGATTTTTTTCGAAGATTTTATTTTTTATTTTTAAGTACTCTCTATACCCAGTATAGGGCTCGAACTCACAACCCTGAGATCAGGAGTCGCACGATCCACGGACTGAACCACCCAGGCACCCCTGAACTAGATTAAATCACTGGTTTGATACCAGCCTACCATCTCTTCACACGTTCTTGACTTGATGAGTCAGCGCTGCCTTCGGCATTTAGGAAAAGCTCGGCCTGCAAAATGGGTATGATGTTGTACTTTTCTCTACTCACATGCAACCTCTAGTTTTCTAAATACCTACCTCTCCCGCTTTGCCTTCTCAGCTCATTTTAAATAAAATCTTGACCCAAAGTGCTTAAAACTTGCAGCTGTACATTCCCTGACTCCTTTGAACGCTTCAGGCGTATGATAAATAATTCAGCAGACCAGGAAAACCAATATTGTTTCCAAGTAGACTTATTTAATAAATTCCTTTTTTTTTTTTTCTCTTGATGGAGTTTCAGTGGGAAATGTAATCCACACGGCCATCTTCAGTGGTTCATTCCATGGCCTTAAACTAATCTTGGGCTGATGAGGTAACAGGAAGTCTGGGGTTTCTCTAGCTGTATATAAACAGAGCTGTGTATTTCAGCTCAAGGCTGTTGGAGAGCGAGTCTCCAATGTGAGGAGGCTGGAGGCAGGAAGACCTGAAGACACGAACGAGGTAAGTTACGGGTGGGGACGTCTAAGGGTGCTTGGAACCTGGGATGGACGGATGGAGGTTGGTACCAGGAGGATTTGGGTCTATATTCACTATGCATTAGCTCCAAGGTCTTGTGAAAGAAAGGATCTTCCTATACCCCATTATTAACTTTGAATCATTGTGGTGTGATTTGATTTGTGGTATGTGTGGTTTATACTTTGAACCAGGGTTTCTCAACCTCAGATGATATTTTTGGCCAGATGATTTTTTTGTTTTGTGTGGGGGGAGGGGAGTTGGGGGTCTGTCCTGTGCACTGTAGGATATTTAGGGGTATCCCCCCATCTGCCTCCCCCATGCCCAGGTCATGACATCCAAAAATGTCTCCAGATGTTGCCCAGTGTCCCGAGGAGCCAAGGGGAGTAGGGCAAGTCACGTTTGGTTGAGAATTATAGCTCTAAATGTTGGTCACTCCATTTTTTACCATTGGGTAAAGATGTGCTGGGCATGTGCTCGGCATCCTCTTATTTTATCCTCAGACAATGTAAGAGGTAGGTTTTATCGTCCCCAAGTTATGGAGAAGGATTATGGTCTCCCAAGAGCTGATTGACTTGCCTAACAGCTAACTGAAGCTAAAACATGGGATTAAAACCACACTGGGCTGAAGTAGCCTTCCCCAATGATCTGAAATAGGACAAAAGTTGACTATTAGGGATTTTAGGCAAATGTGTTAGCTTTGAATCCGTGTGGCACGTGGTTCTCCTGAGATTTATAAACTTGCCATACTGTTGCTTAAAAACACATCGCCAGGTTTTTGCTCTCCACAGGGTAAAAACCAAACCTTTAAATAAGGACTTTTTATCAACCACCTAGCGCAGCCGGGATTAAAGCCCCTTTCTCTACCTGGGAGCCACGTGACTCTCAGGGGCCTGCTGAGTACCCCCAGCCTTCATCCCTTCCTCAGGTTGACCCCTGATCTCTCACTAGAAGGAAAGTGTGGGTTGCATTCTTTCCGTAGCTGTTGTTCTTTTTTTTAGATTTTTATTTGGGAGAGAGAGAGCACGTGCCAAGCAGGGGGGAGGGGCAGAGGGGGAGGGGTTAAGCAGGCTCCCGCTGAGCAGGCCTCAATCCCAGGACCCTGGAATCATTACCTAAACCGAAGGCAGAAACCCCATGTAGCTGTTGTTCTTGGAATAAAATGGATATCTGCAGATTATCAAGGTGGTTCTTGCCTTTGGAAGCTAGGTTGAGAACTTCCTAAAAGCTCTTCTCTCTCAAAATTTTGCTTTTGAAAATTTCAAAGAGCATTGGATTTTAAATCCGTTTTCTGGGATGAGATTAAGTATTTAACTCACAGAGACTGAGGGAAGATTAACGGATTGCCTGGGGGTGGGGAAGGGGGCAGTGCCTGCTCTAGGCGGACAGGGTTTCCTTTGGGGATGAATAAATTCTGGAGCTAGACAGCGGTGAATGGTTGCATAGCATTGCAAATGTGAGCGGTGCCTCAAAGCTGTGCATTTTAAAAGAGTTAGAAATGGGGACTTTTGTGTTACATGTATCTTACCACAGTAACAAAGTTATCTGTTAATCCTGTTAGGATTCTTTTGAGCCCTCCCTTTCCTGGAACAAAGCAATATCCTGGGATCAACAAGGAAATGTGTTGGGGGACAATCTTACATTAATATTTCCAGTGTTACTACACCACATGAAATTCTCAGGTTGTAAATATTTTTCTGTATTCCGCAAAGAATGATATTGTCCCAACCTACAGATGAGAAATGAGAAAACTGAGCCCACCTCTGTGCATTTAGAGCTCAGAATCTAGGGGGCCATTCAGACATTTAAACCACCTTTTACTATAAAGGTGGACATTGGAAAAATAATAGTGGGGGTTACTTTCCATGGTATTTAATACAGGACCAGTTGGGGACGGTGTCTAGTGTTGGGGTGAAGGGTTTGGAGGGGAGGGGGTGGGTAAGAAGTTAAACTAATGTGGTTCATTCTTTTCTCCCCCCAGACTTCTGAACGAACAGCGGGTCCCTTGCTGAGGAAAACCAGAGTAAATCCCTTTAGGTAGGTCTTAATTAGGCACCAGCTTCTAGAGAGTTTGCAGAGTCATATTGGAAAATTCTCCGGTCAATATGGCTACAGACCAGACATTTTCAGGGGGTCGGGAGAAACCCCAAGGCAGCCCCGGGTCAGAGCTGTCGCAGTCTGTACCATTGCCAGGAGCCCAAGACAGCAACTGTGAGACTTGGCACCTGAGCTTCAGGGCGTTTACGAGCTCCGAGAAGTCGGACCCCCTCGACGACCTGGGGAGGCTCAGTGAGCTCTGCTACCTGTGGCTAAGGCCGGACCTTCACACCAAGGAGCAGATCCTGGACACGCTGGTGATAGAGCAGTTTATGATCTCCATGCCTCAGGAGCTTCAGGTCTTAGTCAAGGAAAGTGGTGTGCAGAGCTGCAAAGACTTGCGAGACCTGCTGAGAAGCAACCAGACCCCCAAGAAATGGGTGAGCAGGGCCTTCCTGACGGGAACAGGGAAGGCGGAGCTGGTGTGGGGGCTGCGCGGTGCCCTTGGACTAGAAAGGACATGGGGGCTTTCTTCTGAGTCAGTGTGGGAGACAGTGTGCCCCTCAGGAGACACTCGGCAATGTCTAGAGACATTTCTGGCTGTCGCGACAGGGAGGAGATGGGAGGTTACTAGCAACTGGTGGGTTTCAGAAGTCTATGCACTTTGCCATCATTCACCCTACACGACCTCTCGTGGAAGATAGTTGTGTAAGGGACATTCCAGAGGCTCCAGGAGAAAGGAGCCTGAAACCAGTCCAATCCATTACATTTACAATTCTTGACATCGCCAGAGACCCTCTTAAAAGTGGTCCTACCTGAGTAAAGTGGCTACAGTTTACAGAGAGGGGTGCTACGTTGTCATGGCAACTAGAGTCCTGGGATGATGCTGAGGAAAGGAGGAGTGTGGGGCAGTAGGCTTTTAACTTGACGGGGGTCTCAAATCTACTAGTGATCCCGGGGTGGGTCATCCTTGGGGGCTTCCCTGGGCATCGTAGTGTTCAGTGGCATCCTTGATGTCGATGGCAACCTCCCCCAGTTGTGAAAGTCAAAAACAAAACGAAATCCTGGTGCTTGCCAACTGTCCCTCCGAGAGCGGTCAAAATGGCTCGCAGGTAAGACTCTCCAGACCAGGTAAGACCTTACGTTGGAACATTTTCCGTCATGGTGGCTGGAGGGCGCCTGTATGCTTTGTAGAAAAAGCAAGGGTCTGAAGGACCTAGGAGGGGATGGGACCTGGTGTAGCACCAGTCATGGGGAGACAGGCTCCTCTGTAGGTAATTTTGTAAGTGGGCAGGAGGGAACTGGGTCCAACATGGCAATCCTCCCTTCCCTGAGCACTCCAGTAGGCGATGAAATTCTCCAGGGGTGAGCCAAGAATGGGAATTAGGAGCTTTGACAACATTGTGGGAAAATAGCCATGGCAATTCTAAGATGTTAATCTGGGATGATAGATAAAGGAATTCTTTTTTTTTTCCTTTAAAGATTTTATTTATTTATTTGAGAGAGAGAGAATGAGAGATAGAGAGCACGAGAGGGAAGAGGGTCAGAAGGAGAAGCAGACTCCCCGCCGAGCAGGGAGCCCGATGCGGGACTCGATCCCGGGACTCCAGGATCATGACCCGAGCCGAAGGCAGTCGCTCAACCAACTGAGCCACCCAGGCGCCCCAGATAAAGGAATTCTTAAGACCAGCTGAATGAGATGGAAGCCAGGCGTGTGAAATCTCACTTGGGCGCGGTGTTGGATTTCTCACTGCACCACACCTCACGTGCTCGAGGTCGGGAGTGGACAAGGCATGCTTTAGGATGATGGTTTGAGGGCTGAGTATTAGCTGAGGTTTTAAACAAGTAATTCCAATAAAGTGTGAGCGTATGGTAGCTTCACACAGGGAGTCTCAGAGCTACGTTCCGGTTCTCAGTGAGTCTGATCTTGGTTGATTCTTGCCCCCACAGACCATAGTCACCTTACAAGGACAGGAATTTCTTGTGCAAAGTTCAGATGCTCAGATGGCCGAAGCTGAGGTCAGTGACATGGACCTCGTGACGGACCTGTCCAAGAAGCCCCAATCCTCTGTGAGCGAGACACATCCAGAGGACAGCCAGAAAGTCAGCAGACAGCGGCAGAATCTGCCAGGAGTCAATGAACCGTCAACGGGGCCGGTGAGTGTGACACCCTCCCCGATCTCTAGGGAGCGGTGGCAGAAGGTACGGGAAGAAGTGGTGGGGGGTAGCTGCTGGAATAATTGGGATAATGGCAGAGCACAGAACTGGACCCATTGACCCTAGGGATTCCCGTGACTGCGTCAAGCCCATAGACATCTCTGAGCCTCTGGAGAATGAAGACTCCTCGGCCTTTGCCCATCTGCCATTGAAGCTCTTTCAGCGTTAAGGGTGGGAAGAAAGAAATAGTCTCAATGAAATGGTGCTAGGTTAGTTTGCCATGGGGTAATGAACTGAAGGCTGATTTTTCCATAGCCGATTTCCTCAGGCATCCCATGAAATGACAATCGGACAAAGGACACGTTTTGGAAATATAGTCAATACCTTATGTTAAGGGAGTGGTTCTCACCTGGAGTCGTTTTGCCTCTGGAAGACATTTGCAAATGTCCGGAGACCTTTTCGGTTGTCAGAATGGAGGTGGGGTTGGAGGATGGAATTGACATTAGTGGGTAGAAACCAGGGATGCTGCTATATTCGATCATCCCGCAATAGCACAGGACAGCCTCACAACAGGGAGTCATCCAACCAAAATATCAGTAGTGCTGAGTAGGGACACCTGGACCTAGAGCCACCTTGCTTCCTGAGTAAGGGCAGGGGAAGCCGGATGACCTGAGGAGGAGTGCTTAGAGAATTAAGCGTAAAGGCTGCGATGTGTGGACATGATTTAAAGGTGTGGTGGGTACTGGTTAACGACAGGGAGTGACGAGTGGCCCAGAGGAAGCCTGGACACATCCAGACACTGTGTTATTGAGAAAGTTGGTGTCTCAGATTAGGGAGATGGGCAGGATGGGGAAAGAGGAGACAAGAGCTTCCCACACCCCAAGTTAGACACTTTGGTAACTACATTTGGTTGCCCGTTGTCAGGGACAGAACGTTCTCCTGCCAGAGACCATTCCTGGGAAAGGTGTACGGGAGGGTCTGAGACCCAAGGAGAACTTGAAGAAGAATCTGATGGAAGATCTGGAAGAGACAACAATACTGACATCCCAAGAGCCTCAGCTTCTGCAGGGTCCTGGTGAGCATGGAAACTGGAAATTCGGAGGAGTCAGTGACTTCTACCTGTGCTGGGGAGGGAGCTCTGAAATGTCAAGTCTTCTCTGTCACTGACTGTCCACAGTGTCCTATGTACAACCCCATCCCAGGTTTGTTGGTTGATGGGAAGTTCTCAGCCCACAGCAGTGGGCTCGGTTCAGACGAGGTTGGTATCATTGAAAATGCTCTTTATTAAGTGTTGTGTGTTAACCCTTGTTCAACAGATTCTGCGAGGGCAGAGGGTGGGAAGAATCTCCAAGAAGGAACCGGTATTACGAATGTGGTTGCCGACACACCTCCCACCCACCTTTCAGAGAGACAAATTTCCACTCAGAGTGGGAACAGAAGAGATTCTCAGAAGAGTCCAAGAAATCCCAAAGGAAGAAAACTGGACAACACCTCCATTTCCAAAGAGGTGCCCCAAGAGGGGACCCCATATTTTGCCAAAGGAGAAGCCTCAGCTCAACCTGCGTCCCATGTGGCCCATCCTGTTGGGAAAAAAACCACGGGACAGACACCAGCCCTGTGCAGCATATGTAAGAAAGGATTTCGTTATAAGTCCCAGTTTTACATTCACTGGAGGACACACACAGGAGAGAGGCCTTTCAAATGCGATACCTGTTCTGGGGGTTTCATGCAGCCTTCAGACCTCCGAGTCCACCAGCGAATCCACACAGGCGAGAAGCCATACTCCTGTGAACTCTGCCACAAGACGTTCACCCACGACTCCACCCTGCGGAGTCACTGGAGGGTCCACACAAAGGAGAAGCCTTACCCGTGTGAAGACTGCGGGAAAACTTTTAGTCACAAAGGGAACCTCAACGTCCACCGGCGCACCCACTCGGGATTAAAACCCTACACGTGTCACGAGTGCAAATGCGCCTTTCGTCAGCTGGGAACTTTTAAACGCCACCAAAAAACACATGCAAAGTGACTTCCTGACGAGTCCCTGATCGGGTGCAAGTCCCATCTGCCCCAAGAAGGAAGTTAATGGTGATCCCTCACTGATTTTTGTAAAAATGACACGGGACGTCTTGAGCACTTAAAAGGTTTCTGGAACACAACAGATGTTCCGTAAACATTAATTATGAGGATCTTGGAATGATGACATCCTCCCCGTTGGTGTTCGTTTTCTGTTTTATTATGTGCTATTGTTTCCTCATAAGCTTTTTGGTTTATGTTGCCATTCTTGAAATGAAGGCAAGTCTTGTTTTCAATATTTCCTTATAAAATTGTGGCTGCAGATTGTTTCCCTGTTGTCCTTTATTTCCTTGTAAAATAGGACGATCCAATAGGGTGGCCAGATTAAATAGAAGATACCCTGTGAAATTTGAATTTCAGATGAGCACGTTTTAAGTATAAACACTTTCTGAATCATTTATCAAATAATCACTGAGCAACTTTTTTTTTTAAGATTTTTTTTTTTTTAATGTATCAGAGAGAGAGAAAGCACAAGCAGGGGGAGCGGCATGCAGAGGAAGAAGAGATGGGGGGCTCGATCCCAGGACCCTGGGATCATGACCTGCGCCGAAGGCAGACGCTTAACCGACTGAGCCACCCAGGCGCCCACCCCCAACTTTTTTTAAAAAGACATTTTTTAGAACAGATTTAGTTTCACAACAAAACAGCACGAAGTACAGAGATTTCCCAGAGACCCCCTGTCCCCACTCAAACACATCCTCCCTTACCATCAGCATCCCCCGCAGAGTGGTACGTTTGCTACAAATTATGAGTCTACGCTGATGTTGTTGTCCCCCAAAGCCCAGAGTATAGGGGTCACTCAGTGTTGTCCCTTCCCTGGGTTTAGACAGATGTATGACGTGCACCCACCGTTATGGTCTCATGCAGAGTAGTTTTCTACCCTAAAAATCCTTTGTGCTCTGCCTGTTCAAATCTCTTTGTCACCTGCACCCTCAGTATTTTGCTAAATTTGGTAACGTGTAATTTTTCTCAAGTCCATACGATCGCCCTATGTCCCACACCATCTCATCTATTAACCTTGTGCGTTAGGATGGCACATCTACGGATTTAGTACGTTCAGATAAAGGCCCATAGTTGACTGATTTCCTTGCTTTTCCTGTAATATCAGGTCCCAGCCTCCTGTCAGGGTCCCACGCTGCATTTCCTGATGCTTCCTTAGACTCCTCTTGGTAGTGAGTCTCTCAGATCTTCCTTGTTTTTGATGTCCTGAGAATCTGCACTTTAAAGAAATTCCCAGTGAGGGGCGCCTGAGTGGCTCAGTCGTTAAGCGTCTGCCTTCGGCTCAGGTCATGGTCCCAGGGTCCTGGGATCGAGCCCCGCATCGAGCCCCGCATCGAGCCCCGCATCGGGCTCCCTGCTCGGCGGGAAGCCTGCTTCTCCCTCTCCCTCTGCCCCTGCTTGTGTTCCCTCTCTTGCTGTGTCTCTCTCTGTCAAATAAAATCTTAAAAAAAAAAAGAAATTCCCAGTGATAGGGATGTTTTTGGTCTTGGGAAATTTTGAGAAAAGCGGGTATAGCTCGTAGGTTGGGTCCAGTAACCCTCAGAGCTCCAAGTCTGTCCCTTCCCACAGGGGTGGCCCATTTACAAAAGTCCTGTTTAAGGAGGAGGGTTTAAGGTCCTTCCCTGGGGCAGGGTCCCAGTGGTGCCTGTGGACTCGCTGTTCATCCAGACCAGGCTCTGAGCAGTCTTGCAGCTGAGTGGGAGGTGGTTCTCCATCTTGGTGATTAAGTCTGACTTCCTTCACCAGACCTAGAAAATGTTTTCATGATACAACCTGCTCGTTTACCTTAATCAGTTAACTTCACCCGAATTAACTCATCAATTAACTTCACCCGAAGTTTCTTTGCAGCCCCATTTTCCAATCTGGCTGCATGTTGGAGGCACCTGGAGAGTTAAAAAGCCACTGGTGGGAGTCACACCCAGAGATGAGGATTTGGCTGGTTTGGGGGGTGGTGGGGGCATCGGGTGATCCTAATGTGTGGCTGACACAAAGAGGATGAACACTGCTTCCCCTGCCCCCGCGGATATCTCCATGCCTCCAGGATATGGTTAGGATTTAGGAAGAGGGTGAGTGGGGCAAGTATGATCAACCATTCTACCCTCTGGGTGTGGACCTCCACCCGCTGCATCCACACAACCATGATCCTTGTTAGGAATTAAATAACACCCATGGCTATTGAGGAGGGCACAGCACGTTCTGCACGGAGCATAGGGCGTTATACGAAAACAATGAATCGTGGATCACCACATCAAAAACTAATGATGTACTGTATGGTGGCTAACATAACAATAAAATTAAATTAAAAAAATTAAATAACAATCAGGCCCAAACCTACTGAATCAGAAGCCTGGGGGTGGAGTCCTGCACTCCATTTAAAGGGGGATCCTAATACATCCTAAGATTTTGTAACAGTTGCCCTGCATCACTAATTCTTAGACTGGGAATCACCTGGGTAGTTTTGCTTTGTTTCTGAAATAACTATAGATTCACAAGAAACTGCAAAAATAGTACAGGCAGATCTCCTGCATCCTTCATCCAGTCTATTAAAAAATGCACAAAGCCAATGTATTTCAGCATCTAGAGGGGGACGGGAGAACAGAGAACACAGGTACATGGACAGACATGTTTTTACTTCCTCCAGCCTGTTCTCTCAGCCCGCCACTAAAAGAGCTCTTATCAGACTCGACAGCAATTTGGGTCTTGTCAGTCGGTAGTCCATCTTCAATCCTCTAAGTCTCACCGCGATTTTTTAAAAA